GATGTTGAGCTTCAATCCATATTGGAGGCTGCAGTCCTTGATCTTCTGCAGCAAGCACTTCAGGTCCTCCTCAGTTTCAGCAAGCAGGGTTGTATCATCTGCATAATGCAGGTTGTTGATGACTCCTCCACCAATCCTGATGCCACATTCTTCCTTGTACAGCCCAGTGTCTTGGATGATCTGTTCTGCACAGATTGAAAAGGTATGGAGACAGAATACATCCCTGATGGACCCCTTTCTTGATTCTGACCCATGTAGTATCTCCTTGCTCTGTTCTGCCTGCCTCTTGGTCCAAGTATAGGTTTCGCATTAGCACAAATGTTCTGGGATTCCCATTCTTCTGAGTCAGCCACAGCTTGTTGTGATCCACCTAGTCAAAAGCCTTTGCAGGGTCAATGAAGCACAGACAGACTTTCTTCTGATATTTGCTTTCTGCCAAGATCCAACATTAGCTATAATATCCCTAGTACCAAGACCTCTTCTAAATCCAGCCTGCACATCTGGCAGTTCTCTTTTGACATATTGTTCCAAACGTTTTTGGATAATTTTCAGCAGAATCTTGCTTACATGTGATATTAATGATATTGTTCGATAATTTCCACACTCTGTTGGTTCCCCTTTCTTTGGAATGGGATCTTGTACAATCTTGAATAGTGAAGTCATGGTGATGGTTACAAGTACATACTGTTACATGCCTTCAAGTTGCTTGTGACTCATAGTGACCCTGTGTACAGCTCTGAACCCTGCCCAATCCTGAGCTAACTTTATTTTCTCTGACACACCATTAGCACAGTAACTAAGTCAAATAGTCCATCTCATCGAGGGTCTTCCTCTCTTGTGTTGTCTTTCCAGCCTCCCAAGCATGATGTTCCTCTCCAAGGACTGTTTCCTCTGTTCAGCATGACCATAATATGTCAGATGAAGCTTCAGAATACTTACCTCCACGGAGCAGCCTGGTTTTACCCTCTCCAGGATGAACCTGTTTGTTCTCTGAGTGATGCATGGTATATTAAGTACTCTTCGCCAGCACCACAGCTCAAAGGCTTAAATTCTCTGCCTATCATCATCCCTAGTCACTGTCCTGCTTTCTGATACATAGCAAGTATTTGTGAAGACCATGGCCTGAATCAGGCACACCTTAGTCTACAGACTGACATCGTCACTCTTCTGTACTCTGGAGAGGTCCCATATTCCCATTCCAAAGAAAGGTGATCCAGCACAGTGCAGAAGTTGTCAAACAGTGTCAGTATCACATGCAAGCAAGATCTGGTAAAAATTATCCAAAACGGCTGGAACATCAACAGAGAACTGCCAGATGTGTATGCTGGGTTTAGAGGAGGCTGTGGTACTAGGAATACTATTACTAATGTTAGATGGATCTGGGCTGAAAGCAGAGAGTACAAGAAGAATGTCTGTTTCATTGACTATGCAAAGGCATTTTACTCTGAGGATAACAAAAAACTGTGGCTTACTCTGAGGAGACTAGAAAACCCAGAACACTTGACTGTGCTTATGCAAAACCTTACTTGGACCAGGAAGCAATCATCAGAACAGAGCAAGGAAACACTGCATGGTTCCGAAATCAGGAAGGGTATACACCAGGCATGTGTCCTATCTCCATAACTTTTCAATCTATATGCAGAACCGATATCTGGGAGGCTGGGCTCTATGAGGAATTGGAGGAAGAGTCATCAACAACCTGCATTATGCAGATGACACAACCCTACTTGCTGAAACTGAGGAGGATCTGAAGCACATACTAGGTACTGAGTAGTTTTTGCTGAATGAAATTTGAAGCTCAAACATCCCATTTGTTATTCCAGTTCAATCCATCACAGGTCACACCTCCAAGCTAAATCTACAACTGTAGGTTATAGAACCACGTTCTTTCCTGTCTAGTCTGGACCTGTGGGCCTCATCAACATAAATGCAGTTACACTGCAGTATGGATTTGTGTAAGTCCATTTGGGGGTACTTCACCATTGTTTAACCCTGTATAACAAACAAGATCTCATCTGCCACAGAAGACTCATGGGGTCTCCTGGTCAGGGCTTGGCTGAACAGATGTGCTTACCTAGGATTTAGACTTTCAGCAAATGATAAAAGGATGAGACTGGCTTCCCAGCAATGGTGGTCTGCAGGGGCCAGATGTGGAGACCTCCTATCCAGAATATTTGTCCTCTTGTTTTACTCGGTGATCCTTCTGGAGTCACAATCCCATTAACTACTCCATTCTACCAGTAAATGCCTTTTCTGCCTACTAGCTAACCAGATTAAATTTGTTGTTTGCAATGAAGACAGTGTTGGGCAAACATACATCACTGCAGTTGCCCCTTTAGTTCACATCCCAGCTGGTAGGCAGGCTAGATGTGACACAGATGTCTAAAGTTGCACCAAGACAGCTTTGAGACTGCCAAACTGCTTGAGTGGACATTAAGGCAAATTACTCAATATCTTCTCACCTACAAGGTGAGGCTGGTAACTACTTCATAGAGCTATGCAAGTATCAAATATGTGTGAAGAGCTTAGAAAAGTGTAAGTGCTTGAAAAAGTTGTGCCTTTTGTCACTCTCTCTCGATAGTGCTCTCACTTCACTATTTCAAACCTCTGCCCTTTTCCATAAATCTGCTTTCCAACTTTCAAGAATTCACCACCTCCATGCTACACATTTCCTCAATATTCCTCCCCTCTTGTGGCTTTAATTACCATCTGCAGATGGCTTCATTATCAAGGTGGGCAGCTCCTCTTACCTGCCTGCCACCTTTCTTCAGGTGGGTATTAAAACCAACATACTAGTTCACGACAGCCCCTACACTACAGCCAGAGAAATCTCTGCAGGATTTCCTACATCCCCTTAGGGTAATCCTGGCCCAGAGCTTCTCAAGCGGAGTGTGACTGTATTTGGGCAGTTGCTCTGTGAATTAAAGGATTTTTAGCTGATATGTTCCTGCCCCTCTTGCAAATACATCATTGTGAAAAGGCCAAATAAACCTTCAACAGATAGTAGTGATGGGTGCACATGAATTGTCATTAAATTGTTCCTGTAAAACACATTGAAATGGTAAAATGTTTTGTTACTTTTGTACTCACAATAAAAACAAATATATTTCCAATCCTGTGCCATCCTCACGTCTCCCACATGCTCACTGTTAAGAAGTCACCATGACTTGTTGAGGATCTTCTCTTTCTGACCCTCCACCTTCCCTAGTAGGATGTACTTTACGAAGGACTGGCCCCTTCTGACAACATGCCCAAAGTACGTGACGTGGAAGACTGCAGATAGGACCAAGTTCCCGTCTGTTGTTCAGAGGGTCACTCACTATGTGTTGTTGGCTGTATGGAACCTAACAACATTTCCAAATCCTTAGTGGGAAGGACTTATGCTGCCAACCCAAAGACATGTAATATGGACCCACCAACTACTCCATGGGAGAAGGATGGCGAGTCTCTTCTTGCAAAATTTACAGCCTCTGAAAACATGCTACAAGGTGAACTATGAGTTGGTTCCAATTTCAGTGGCACATACCAACAAGGGGCAGGCAGTTTTTTTTCTCCCATTCAGACCAAATCCTGACATTATATAACCAGGATGCTCAAGTCATCGCCACCCCCGAGTCCTTTTGGCAGCAACATCTGATGTGTGTTCCCAGTATCAGGCAGTTTATAGAGTTGATGGTCAGTGAATGGCAGGCTGAAGGAAGAGGAAGGAGGTGGGTGAAGGGAATTCGAAGGCTAAGGGCTCTGCAAGCGTCGGCAGCGCGTGCCCCCTGGTGGCCACAGCAACCTTGTGCAGAGCAGGTTTTTGGGGGCTGCCTAAGCTGCCCAGGCAGTTTCTAGTCTCTAGGTCTCCTTAAGCTTTTCCTTTAAACGTAGACACGGAATTGTGGGACCATCAGGCATCTAATAACTGCATAAAAGTAGTCCTGCAGGTTCTGCATTACCAGGAAAGGACTGACACCCACATGAGCAGTGGTTACCTCATGCTCCCCAAACCCTGCAGTACTATACCCAGCCTGGCCAGCTGACGTCCTCATTCCCCACCATTCACATCACCCACCACCTCCAAGGGCAGGTCTAACCACTGGGGACAGCTCAGCAAGTCCTCCTCCAGTGCTGAGGCCAACCTAGTGACAGCTTAAACTCAGTGTGCAGCTTCTTGTTCTCATCTGCCCTCAGCATTCTAACAAATCTCTTGTTTATGATTCTCTTCTTTTTCTAAGAGTGTGTGTGATGTATCACTATTCCTATATCTCTGATTCTCTACTGAAATGGTATACAAACCTGTACTTTTTAGATGGCCCATAAATAGGTCAAACTAAGAAAATTTTCCTCTCATTTCTTGGCTAGAACACCTAAATGGAAAGCAGCAGAGAGACAAAGGTTCTGGTGTCAGGAGAAACTCCTGTTCTAATCTCAGCTCTGCTCAACCTTATCTAACCCTGAGGGAGCTACTCAGTCCCTGAAAACCCAAGTTCCTTCATGTACAAAGTGGGATTATTAGTTGCTTCATAACCTTCTCTCCATCTCTTACCAGTCTAAAAATGTTCCCAGGAAGTAAGACCTTTGGGTTCGCTGCCACTTAGAATTATTTTATTTCCTTATAGGGGCCCAAAGGTGTAGTGGAAACACACTGAGCTGCTAACCAAAAAAGGTGAGCAGTCTGAATTCACCAACAGCTCTGTGGGACAGAGACAGCCACCTCCCATAGAGACTTACAGTCCTGGGAACACAATGGGGCTTGCTCAGCATTAGAACTAAGTCAGCGGCAGTGGGATTGCTGCCTGAACATTCTCAGAACAACTCTGCCATTCCCAGCAAACTATGACCTATGACCTATCCTGGTCTGACCTCAATGTCACGGTCTCTGGGGAGCTAAACTTGGTTCATTACTCCTTTTCTACGGATGGACAATGTCTTATAAACACTGTAATCCCAGCAACAACACAGCACCTGAGACTACATTTGCAGAATGAAGAAAGGAAGACAGCAAAAGACATCAAGAAGGTTTCCAGGAGCTTGTATTACACAAGAATCAGTGCAGGAAATGGCAGACAACTTATGTCTGCTTTAAAAGCTCATCAGGTGCCAATGCCACGCCCTGATGCTTTCGAGGGTCTCCTGGTTCTTGGCTTCTCTGGAGCAGGCTCGGCCCAGGCTCCAGGCTGTGTGGGCAGCCTCGGTGAGGAGCATCCTGCCTACTGTCACCTGAAGCATCAGGCACTTTGGTGACGCCAAGGGCTGCCTCTGCCTCCTTTTTCTTTACTTGTGGACATCCAGACTCCCATAGCCAGCTATGGTTGGGAACCTTGTAAGGTGAGCAGGCCAGCCCAGGGGCCCTAGGTACCTGTGACCTCCCTTCCTGCCCGGGAGACAGGTCCTTGGGGTGGCCTGGAACACTGGCTTCCAAATCCTGGAGGATGGCTGGCCCAACCTCTATGGTTGCTTTTCTGCTTGGGGATGCTCTCTCTGGGTCCTCAGTGAGGAAACTCCAGGACCATGGGTGGGGCTCACCAGGGGCAGAAGTTTTAGAACTGGTGAGGGCGAGTCCTGAAGAGCTGGGACAAAGTGCTGTTAGTGCCTGGGTGTGGAGGTGGGGGGCCTTCCAGCAGCCACTGGTGGGCACGGGGTCTGTGAGTCTGACCCTGCCCAGGCCAGGGCCTGATAAGGAGGAGACAACCTTCTCAGGGGTCTTCAGGATCCCAAGCTGCCTCTCGGAGACACTGGAACCTTCCTTTGTGGGATGCCCCAGTGTGAGCCCGGTCAATGAGTCTGTGGCCACTGGGTCTTGTCTGTTGGGATCACTGGGCAAGAAGGCTTCCTCTTCACCACCCTCTGCTCCTCTGCTGGGAAGAGTCTGGCCCCCTTCTGGGTTAGGTGCCACGCCTGGTTCCCGAGTGCCCTTCGTGTGGTTGGGCCCCTCGTCGGCATCATCCTCTGAGGAATCTACCTCCCGGATGGCTTCTTGCTTCTGCAGTGACTCTCTCCGTTCAGCCCGGTCCTGCCGGATGGTGCCCAAGGCCCGTGAGGGAGCGGGCTGCAACACCCCCTTCCCTGGAAGCGTCCCCTTTCCAGATAGTACACTCCTGGTTCCAGCAACCTCCAGAGGGCTGGCTTCTCTGGGTGTCAGTTCCTTCTTTAGCTCAGGGTGGGGCAGGTCAAGGCTATGCTTGCGAGAACTGACCAGCTTCTTCTCTGAAGCAGCAAGTGCGGCTGCCAGCTTCTCAGCCGACTGGACTCTCTTAAGCAGCGGTGAGCGGGGTGGCTCGGCACTCTTGGGTCTCGAGAGCTGCCTGCCCAGTGGAGGCGATGAGTGAAGCTTGGTGGGGAAGGCCTGGGCCCCATGGCCAGACAGGGGTGATGGAGAACGCTGGGGCGAAGCTGCTGGTGGTGGAGGAGAAGGGGTGTGAGCCAATGGTGACAGTGGGATGCTGCCTGCTGACTTGCGCCGTGGAGAGCGGTACTGGCGCTGGAGTTTGGGTGCCAGGCCATGCAGGGAGCTGGGCCTTGTGTGCCCAGAGCCAGCAGGGGAACTGGGCACACTGGAGCTGGGGGAGCTGCTCTGTGAGGAAGTCCCTCCCACTTCGCATAGACAGACAGACAGAGACAGACAAGAGTAGATCAATGTTAGCTGTTGGAAGTGCCTGAGAGGCAAGACAGGACAGAGCCCTGTAATGCCCCAGGATTATAAAAATTATTTCACCAGTAGACCAGAACCCAGGCTACAGAAATAAAAGTGAACCCCTCTCCCCATCCCTTCCTCCCCAAGACTGCTGGAGGTCTGAGAGGTACGGAGGGACCGGCACTTCCCAGGGATGGTTTCTGTGACCTGAAGTACCCTTTGGTACCTGAATGCACAGTATCAGCTGTCACCCGGTAGCCCTGAGTAGGGGACCTGGGGGAGAGGCTGTAGCTGTGTGTGGGCGAGCCTGGGCCACTCTCTCCTGATGACAAGGAGCGGTTGAGGGAAGAAAGGCTGCGGCTGGTGTGGAGAAGGGAGGCCTGCTTGGTTATCTTCCGGAACAGGGAGCTCCTTTTCCTGCTGCAAAGATAAGGGTCAAAGAAAGACTGAGTGGATGAACTGAGGCAGGATTGGGGAGCCCAGCACACACTGGTTCCATGGTGGACGAGTGAAGTCGCTCTGGGCTAAGCCTTGCTCACCTCTCTTGTCCATCTTTGCCCCGGCTCCGCTTGCTCCTTCGGGCCATTTTGGCCTTGTAGTTGCCCTTCCGGGCTGGTCCCACTTTAATGGATGTATTTTCCAGAGGAGTTGTTGAGATAGACACCTTGTTTCCACTCTGATGAGTAAAGCAGAGGCCTGGGATGAAGCAGCGGCCTTATCCTTGTCCCTGCTGGACATGGCGCTGCCACAGCTCCAATTTTAGTCCTGCACCAGCCAGCGTGTCTCAACCACAGACCTATCTTCCCTTTTGACAGATTATGAAATAAATGGCTTGGGAGCCCCAGAAGTAAATGCTGGGTCTTGATCAGAAAGGTGCTGTCTTCTAGAGAAAACTCTGCTGTGTGAACATGCATCTGTCCCCCTACTCCAACAGTAAGACTCAGGCCAGACACCAAGCACTAACCTTCAGGATTAGCTCCACCACCTCTGTGTGCACCAGCCCTTGCACTGGCTCCCCGTTGACATGGGTGATGAGGTCACCCTGACGAAGCCCCGCCTCACTGGCTGGACCACCATCCTCCACATGCTGTCTCAGGAAGAAAACCATCCTCAGCTGCAATCTGAGCATGTGAGCCTGGTTCTGCTCCCTCCCATACTCCTTGATGCTTTAAGGGAACCGGGGCAACAACAGAAGCAGGCATAGACAAGCCGCACTGAGGAGATGGGGTGCTGGAAATAGGTCTGAAAGGACAGACATACCCACACCATGTGATGGACAGTGTAGACATCTGAGTCACCCATGTAGACACGAATGGCCCGCAGGGTGAAGCCGTATTTCTTTCCAGCTCGGTGGATGATGATGGGGGGTCTCAAGCTTCCGAGAGCTGGCAAGAAGTCCCTGCTTGGAGAAGAGTCCCTGGATGATGGGTTGGATGACTGGGAATGTGGGGACATGGGACTGGCCAGTGGAGAGCAGGTGTGATGCTCTGGAGGAGAAGTCAAGAGTCAACAGGTCAGAGAGGCCTGGGCCGCCATGCTCCTGGCTGCCTGCACTGCCTGCTGCCCCCATGCCAGCCCCCGTCATGGACGGAGGGGGCACAGGCCCATCTTCTCACCATGCTTCACCTGCAGAACTCTCTTGTGTGCCCATGAGAAGTGCAGGGGGCGGGCAGTGATTTACTGAGTGCTGACTATCAGGGACTGTAGAAGCTCTTCATACATACACTAAATGTCACAATTATCTTCTTGAAATAGCTACTATTTCCCTGAATCTCCCCTCCCCCTGCTTCTTTTCCCTCTTAGGACATTTATACACATCTTACTAGTTATCTTTCTATTTTTACCATAATGGATTTGAAGTAGCTATTATCTTATTTTAAAAGATTAATTTGAGGCTTGGAGGGGTTAAACAGCTTGAGGCTTATGAACTTAAGCAGCATGCTCAAGGTCAAGAGTCATCTGAGCATACGCTCTCCATTTTCAGAGCTTAAACTTGCTACACTGCACTATCTCGTCTCCCGAAACATCCTGCACAGGCAACTCTGGACTCAGTGTGCCTCTGGAAACCGCCAGTCCATTAACAAAGGTGCACGCGGGGCAGGCAGTGTCGGGTGAATGCTCCGCAACACACAGTGACACACACGTCTGTATGGACATGCCAATCCCTGGAGCAGGTCTAGAGTGGTTCTAGAGCCTCACCTGCAGGAATGAGGAGGGAGAGAGCTGTGGCTGAGGCAGACTTGATCACTTTGTTGATGGGGTGGGCAGCACGCTTCTCTATAGAGTCCCCAGAGAGCAGCCGGTGGCGGGCCCTGCGCACGGCCAGGTCGCTAATGGCCTTGGCAGTGGTTCCCTCAGTCAGCTTCGGTGTCACAGAGCCTCCTCGGGAATCCATGGCTGTGGCCCAAGAGAGCAGTCATGGCCACATCGCTCCTGTGCCCCCTCCCTCCCTGTCTGTGTCCCCCTCCCAGTCGCTGTGCCCCCCTCCCTCCCTCCCTGTGTCCCCTCCCTGTTGCTGTGCCCCCCCGTTGCAGTGTCCTCCCTGTCGC